AAAAAAAAAAAAAAGTATAAGGGAAAGTTTATTTAGAAAGTTACAGAAGTAGCAGAAGGGCCCTTGGAGCTTAGGAGAAAAGGGAGAGAGAGACGTGCGGTTGTGTTCTGGAAAAGAGTGAGCCTGCTATTAATGATTTTTTTTAGCTGTCTTCATGGAAACTTACTGTCTTATAACTTCTGCCCTAGGTAAAACTGACAAACCAGTCAGTTTTTAAAGTATCTGTAGCCCCCCCCGATGATGCCTTACTTTGACACACAATTTGGTGGTGGTCGGTCATCAGTAAATGAGCACGTACTGAGGACCTGTCATGTTTAAGGTACTGAGCAGACTCAGACCCAAGATCCGATTATAATACATTTTAACTTACAACACAGTCCTATGGTATAGACCTTGAGGATAATGCAATAGTCAGTCTCACAAATAGCCATATTTTTGTAATAACCAGATTGAGATGAGTATGTGAATGAAGAATGGTGACTTGAGGACTTTTTGGTTTTTGTAAACTGAGCTATGGCAATCAGCAAAGACTTGCCATTGCACCTTACACAGGCATTGAAGATAAGGCTGTTTCTACTGGATTACATTATAAGCCATACCTGTTATTTTCAATAAAAGATGTGTGGAACCAAAAGAAAAATGGGCAGTTGTCATAGTACTTAGGAAGATCCTAAAAATACATGGTTAAAAAACAAAAAAATGTTATTCATACTAAAATCCATACCAAGAACTAATCACTCCAAGGGGATTAAAATTCCTTTATTCATTTATATATTTATCAAACAATTGTAACCGTTAAATGTGCAGCACTTACAGCCTATAACATTTCACCACAGACACGGAGGAGGAGGCTTTCAGTGATTTCTGTTCCTTCCTCTTACTGTTTGTATCAAAATTTTCAAGGAAATTTATCTTTCCTATGATGAATATTTATACATTTTAATCTGGTTTAGATAGTGCTAAACAGAATCTACTAAGGACTATGCATATTTATGCACAAATATATCATCCATTCCTACAAGGAGCAGCTATTATATAATTAACTGTGATTTTTTGATGATGATACATTGATGATGAAGTACCTAAATTTTTTGAAAGTGCTTTCATCTCATAAAGGACAGATACTACCAGCATCCTTTGGCCCAGTGCCCCTCACCAGTGTTTCTGCTTAGAAGCCAATGATTGAGAGAGAATTCAGACTGGCTTCATTATTCAAGGGGTAACCATCCAATATGGAAACTATCCAGGTCACTTGCTTCAGCACACTTCCATTTCAATACTTAGTAGGGTCTCCCCCAACAGGGAGCAAGCAGGGGCTAAAGGAGGGCACAGGAAATACATTTTAAATTGATGGACATAGTTTCTTACTGGCAGTGTTGGTTGATGATTTAACAGGAAAATGAATTGAAACTATGGAGACCTAGAAATGTGTTACATACAGAGTAATGCCCAAACATGCATTTTATGACTAGTCAATGTAAGTTACACACTCATGGTACTCTGAGTAATGACAACAGCAGACATTCTTATTTTTCATAAAGTAAATATTGGATTTTTCATAAAGTAAGCATTTTATTAAAATTACTATTTATAATGTATTATATAACAATTCAGAGGAGAGTAAAATCTTCACTTTAAAGTATTTTATAAGTTATGGGGAGGAATGTGTTTTAAAGATATAAAACCAAATGTGATCACTGCTATGCATTAAAACATCTTTGTTTTTACATCTCAGTTTTTGTATTACTTATGTGAAAATTAATACATACAAATGAGCAAAATTTTAAAATTACATATGTTCTTTTTTTGGTTAATCCTCACTAGAGGATATTTTTTCCATTGCTTTTTAGAGAGAAAGAGAGGGAGGGAGATCCCTATTGGAGGGAGGGGAGCAAACTGGCAACCCAGGTACATGCCCTTGACTGGGAATTGAACCAGTGACCCTTTGGTGTGAAGGCAGATGCTCTAACCACTGAGCACACCAGCCAGGGCAAAATTACATGTTCTTTAAAAAGTGTTACGGATCTGATTTGTTTGTCTTTCTCCCTGTCTAGGAGTTGACATCTATCATCTCCCTTGTTGGGATAAGTAGCAAAGGAAATCCCAAACCAGAATCCCTCAACAGACCAGACAAGAATAACAGCATCGGTCATTCCTGATTACTCACCGAAGTAGACAGAAATTGCACTTTCACATCATCATGCAGAGGTGCACAGTTGCATAGATAAATTATCACTCTGTCTCTTTCAACATCGTGAACTATCTGTGAGTGAATACATAGAATTCAGACAATGAGATAGCTGGTAATGAGATAGTATAACAGTGAAGTTTATGTTTACTTACTGAGACTGCCTATATTTATCAAGTACTCTTGGTATCATAGCCCTATCGCTACATGTATAAATAAATGTTAATCATCATTTCTCTAAAGTTGCGATACTGTTGTTTACGTTTTTTAAAGGCCAGCACGGTTGAAAGCAAAATATTCAATGTTCTATTAGAATTTAACCAAGTAAACATTACTGTTGACTGCGTGTCACCTGATTTTCATAGTTGGGAATACACTAAGAAGCTCAATTTTAAAGCTGGCATTCACATTCAAAAAGCAATGCTTAACTGTCATGCTTTGTCAAAAATGTTATTTGCTGATTGCATCATAGGCTTTGTCCATAGCAGACTGTTAGATGAAGTCACCAAAGATAGGCCAAGTTTCTGGAATGAACAACTTTGAAGCTATGCTAGGTATGTCTTTGTTTGATTTACCTTTGTGTAATAGTGCCACCCACAATGAGAAAGGTCTATGCTAGGCCCTGGAAAAATACAAAAGAAGGTGCAGACTCAGTTGAAAATTCAGGGAGCTATACACATAAGGAATGACAGTAGAAGGGCATATAATTTTGTGTCGAGCTATATGAGGAAGACTGAGTGTGCTGTTGAGTGCTTTGGGGAGGTCAGCATGAGGTGTAGAATGAGAAAGCTTCATTGAAGAGGCATAAATTGAGTTGGGAAAGGAAAGATTCGGATAAATGAAGAGGAGCTCTGAAAAGAAAACCCAGTTCAGACGGGGCGGTTGGGAAAGGGGAAGGAGGGAAGACCAGCAGAAACATGAAGCAGAAATGAGAGGGTTGTGTTCCAAGGGCCAGAGGGGTCCCAGTCTACTTGGAAGGGAGTCTGCAGGTCAGGTTACTAATGGACATGAGCTCAGGTATCATAGGGCTGTATCTTGAGAGTTCAAGAGCCAGGGAGATAAGAAAGAAGTTATTGAAGAGTATGGTGGGGCATTTCCTATGTGACAAAGTGGCCTAATAATTATTACAGATAACATCTACTTAGTAATTTATAGTTTACAGAGCAACTTCGCATAGATTGATTACCCAATTCAATCCTCACAATACTTGAAATGTAATCTTTATTTTACAGATAAGAATATTGAGATAGAGATATTATTACTGTCTCTGACTATTGGCACACAGGGTGTCTTCTCCTCTACCTACAGCTTTTGACAATGAGAGCAGTATTTCAGGATGCATATTGTAGACCTCTATATACTGCTCTATATAAGGAGGAAAAAAGGAAAGGAGATGATTGTAGAAATCTAGGCATGAGCAAATGAGGCCCTTGACTGGGTAGTGGCAATAGGAACAGAAAGAAAGGGAGTGAAGAGAGATTTCAAAGGTATAACCAGCAGGATTTAGGAGGCTAAGACAAAGAGGAGATCACAGATAATACCAAATTTGAATGCCTGAGTGAGAGAATGCTGGTGCCATTTGCAGATGCAGAAGAAAAACCCATTCGACAAATTTTGATTGTTGAATGTGTTTTTTTCCTTTTTATTGAATTTATTGGGGGTGTCACTGGTTAACAAAATTATACGTTTCAGGTGCACAATTCTACAGCACATCACTGTGCTCCGTACTGTGCATCCATGGCTCCAAATCAAGTCTTCGTCCATATCCATGTATGCCCCCTGTGCCTCCTCCACCTCCCTCCCACCTCTCCCCAGGCAGTCACCACACTGTCGTTCATGTCCATAAATTCTTCTCTTTTTTTCTTTTTTACTCAATCCCTCCACCACCCTCCCCTCCAACAGCTGTCAGCCTGCTCTCTATCTATGGGTCTCTCTATTTTGTTTGTTCAGTTTGTTCATTAGATTCTGCATGAGTGAAACCATATGGTACTTGTCTTTTTTTGAGAGGCTTATTTCACTTACCATAATAATCTCAAGGTCTATCCATGCTGTCACAAAAAGGTAAGATTTCCTTCTTTTTTATGGCTGCATAGTATTCCATTGTGTAAATGTACTACAGCGTTTTTAACCACTCATCTACTGATGGGCACTTGGGCTGTTTCCAGGTGTTAGCTATTGTAAAAAAATGCTACTGCGAATGTAGGGTGCATATATTCTTTCTGATTGGTGTTTCTGGTTCCTTTGAGTAAATTTCCAGAAGTGGGTCATCCAATCGCTGGTTCATAAGGAAGCTCCATTTTTAATTTTTTAAGGGACCTCCATACTGTTTTCCATAATGGCTGCACCAGTCTGCATTCCCACCAACAGTGTACTAGGGTTCCCCTTTCTCCACACCCTCACCAGCACATATGGTTTGTTGATTTGTTGATGGTAGCCATTCTGACAGGTGTGAAGTGATACCTCATTGTGGTTTTAATTTGCATCTCTCTGATGATCAGTGACGTTGAGCATTTTCTCATATGTCTCTTGGCCATCCGTATGTCCTCTTTGGAGAAGTGTCTGTTCAGGTCCTTTGCCCATTTCTTAATTGGGTTGTTCGTCTTACTCTTGCTGAGTACTATGAGTTCTTTGTACACTTTGGAAATTAGCCCCTTATCAGATACATCCTTGGCAGATATGTTTTCCCAGACTGTGGGGTTCCTTTGTATTTTGAGGCTGTTTTCTTTTGCTGTGCAGAAGCTTTTTAGTTTGATGTAGTCCCATATGTTTATTTTGTTTGTTTGTTTCTCTTGCCCTAGGAGATGTATCAGTGAAAAGTCCACTACGTGGGATGTCTGTGACTTTTACTGCCTATGTTTTCTTCCAGGATTTTTATGGTTTCATGACTTACATTTAAGTCTTTTTGAGTTTATTTTTGTGTGTGGTGAAAGTTGGTGGTCCAGTTTCATTCTTCTGCATGTATCTGTCCAATTTTCCCAGCACCACTTATTGAAGAGACTGTCCTTACTCCATTGGATGCTCTTGCCTCCTTTGTCAAATATTAACTGACC